AAGACCACAAAGCTATCATACAAACCTAGTCTGTATATCACTAATAGAGGATTGACATAACGATATCAAACCGAACAATAATCGATTAGTATGAAGCCGACGTTAACCTTGGTGCTTGCAGATGAAATCCTATCATGTCGGTAAACCAAAAGAGATTGGAATCGATAAGAGAAAAATAATTAAAATTATTGTAACTATAAACAAACGAAACAAACTTCTTTAAGACTCTTCTGAAGGTGAATTCATCAGGATTATAGCTATCGACTTAGCAAACCAAAATATTCTTTGTAGATATGACCGATTAAGGCGGATCAAAGCAAAAAGGAACCCGCACTAACTTGCATACTTTATTCATTCATACGATACTCAAAACCCTTGTTTGCCTTCAAACTCTGTTTAAATAAATCTGAGATTGAACAGACATTGTGTTTGTTTCGGTTGATAATAGAAAGAAAGATTGTATTTAATTAAACATCTCGATTCGTTAGTAAGCAGTGATGATAATGAGGATGATTACATCCGCCCTACCAATAACTAGATGGCTTGCCAACCCTTTTGTATTTTACCTTCTGTTCTATGATTATCGCCAGATATTTTTCTGTATTATTGGATTCCACGTCGAAACTTCAATCATTTTTTAATAACCAAACCGTGGCTGCTGGCCGTGAAATGAAATTGTTTCCGGCCCGAGAGATAACAAAAATAGGTCCAAAATATTATTTCTCGTATTTGCTTAATATTACGGATGTTTTGAATAAGTTTAGTAGAGAATTTGCTTATTATGGAAATGTCGTACACGGATAATAACATCTGAAGATGTTTAATTCAATACAAAAAAATGATTGATTGTTTGGTCTTGATTTGTCGTCTATAACTGAGTATTCTCTAGCAACTACACTACTTCTTAACTATATATAGACAAGAATCGCAAACCGATAACGAAAGACAGAAAGCCGATTCACGCAATAATCATTGGGCGGCGGGTTTATTGCAGCTGGACCAGTTTGTTGGCTGATTGTCAGCTGAATGTCTCTGGATCATTATCATAAATATAATACTACCCTAAGTATTGCCCCATCTCATCTGTCCTGCTGTTACTAGCCCTAGTAGCACCGACTCAATAGAAAACGGTAGAACTTTGTCTTCTGGTTGTGAAGGGGGCAGTTGTGTTATGTTATGTAGAATCTAACAAACCTCTCTACATCATGGCGACGTTCAACGGTTATTTGTCTTTGGTTATTTTCCTTTTAAAGGTTAGTTGACAAATGGTATCATATAAATCGTGAACAAAAAAACGCGCTATTTTTGTTAAGATCTCTTTTCGTTAACGTGAATTCTAGATTTACAAAACATTCATCGCTTTTTCTTCTGTTCATATTCTACTTTTCTTTTTCTTGTACTTTTTTCAATTACATAGATACTTATACTTATTTTTTCTTAACGAAAGAGTACTCGTACTGATCCTGCAAAACACTTGACCTTGTTTGTGCATTTCGTACGAAAACCGTGTCTTCGTTTGTTCTTTTCTTTTCTCTTCCCTCTGAAGAATACCTCGCCCAACTCAGAATTAGATAGTTCTAGTACTGCCATACAAGATTAATAGTTACTTATGCTCGAATACCCACACAAACCGCTTTGCGTTTCACAGATACCTTCACAATTGCTCTTTTGTTGTTTTTAGAATAGCTATTAATCATGTTAACAATCCTATCTTTTTCTCTTCACCTTAGCTTTGCTCTCTACACACACAACGTTTTGAATGTTGACCATTGATCTCAATAAACTCTACACTATGATCATAAATGACTTATGACCCAAAAGCAGTCATTTCAGTTATGTATTTTACTCTTATTCCTAATATTTCATAACCGTTTTTTCCCACCTCAAGTCATTGAAGTTTTTGCTTTATTTTTTTAAGATGTTTTATGCAGATGAATCGATGTTCTCACAAGCCCAGCAAGGTGATCCTAATAACTAAACTCATTATAAATTTCTTATAGAAATTAAATTAAGAAAATTTTTAAATATTTCAGTAGCGATTAACCAAGAAAAAATTGATTATGGAAGTCGGATCTTTTTTTAATGTTATATTGACTTTCAAGTATTCTACGAATGACCTCACTTAGCGTGCTGAGATTTGAACGAGTTTCACAGCTCTTTTCCTGTGTTCTTTGCCGCTAAGTCTTTGAACCGACTCCCCGTCAAGAATGTGTTATCATCAAAACTACTTTAAGATTAAAACGTCCTTTTGGGTATGTTTTAGTTTGTCCTATCTCCATGGATACCGTGTTCTTACTGGATGGCTCTTCAAGTATTGGTCAAAGTGACTTCGACAAGATGAAGGAATTTATCATAAGTGTCCTTGAACATTTCAGAATATCTGAAAAAGGTATTGTTTTTCATGTATTGTGTGTGCTATTGGTATTTCATGTACACAAACCACTCAACACGCATACATGAAGTTAAACTATCCTATCCTGCTTTGCGTGCTCTGTAAGCCGTTACTTTATTAACACAGAGTATAAAAGGTTGATTCAAACGTCTTGGTTCTTATCTTTATGATTGCCTCAAGGGAATGATGCCTATCTCGAAATGGCTATAGGTTACTAAGGTAACCGTCATTTCTAAAGAATGACCGCGGGCTCAGTTATCGCGGATATTGGCAATTGAAAGAGATGACTGGTGTTGTTAGAATACGAGATACGAGTGATGAACAAGAAACATGAGTAAACAACGTACCATCGCTATAACATTAAATAGAGTATCGAACACAACAAAAAAATGGATATATTAGTCCTATACGCTGAATCAAAATTTGACGACTAATTAGAAAAATATTGTTCTGGACGCTGACTAGCTTCTCTTACATGTGAAAACGCTTTTGTTTCCACGTGAAGACGAGACTAGTCACTTCAGAACAATAGCTATTTGAACTGATGCTACCGTACCTAGGTCACTACATCAAAGGCAGCAGAGATCTCAGAGAGTATTTGACGTTCCAGTTTGTAAAGCGGGTCAGATATAAAAACAGCTTTATCACAAGCCATAGCTTCTAATTATAGTCTTTTCTTTAAATAGCTTTTTTTATCTTCGAAACCTGTCGTTTTATAATAATCTGAAAGCGTCACATAATTTCTTATACAGTATCGTATCATTATATTCTATATATTATAGATTATTATTTCATAGATTATTATATATATATTTCAGTTATTGATAATGATGGTGATAATGCATTGTAGAGTTTAACACGTAGTCCAGTCGGAAGACTGCGACGTGTTGAATTCTTCGAAATAAACGATTTATTTATCTATCTGGTGGCCATATTACGATTCGGTGAATATGGCTCGGGAGAAGACTCCTTGTTTTTTGAAGAAAAGGCATGATTATGTGACGAAAGTCACGCATGCGTGAAATAGATAAACTGAAACATTGATACATATGTGATGACAGACTTGAATATTATTGTTAAGAAAATCGCAGATTTTCGAGATTTTTCTAAAACCGCACTGATAGATACCAACTATTTCCATATATATTGTTGTTGTCAGAATCTCATGTTGGAGTGGTTCACTATAGTGATAGTCCTTCAACCAAGGTCTTTCTTACTGATGTCCAGAACACCTCATCAATTTACACTAAGATCCGTGCTATGCCGTTCATTGGAGGAAACACACACACAGATCTGGGACTGAACGAGTCACGGTACTTGTTTTTAGATGGAAGTCGTCTAAATGTTCCTCGTGTACTTATTGTTATAACTGACGGTGAAAGCAATGGTAGGTGACTGAAGATGATAGAATCAATATTACTAGAGATTCGAATAGCACCCAGGAGTGTGGACAGGGAAAAGAGCTGTAGGGTGCCTGCTGGATTTGCCGAGGGAGGAAAACCGGAGAACTCAAACCAAAACTCTCGAATCAAGGGAGATGTTATACGAAATCAGTGCACTACCCATTGCACCCTTGATTCTTTATTTAGGGGAGGGGAGGGGAGGGCCAGATGATTCATATAGGTTAAGGTGCACTTAGACCCTATTTTTTTACATTCTTAACTGTTTGTACTGAACATTTTAAAATGAATGCGAAAAATTGTTTTAAAAATACGAAATGTGTGGTCCATTACCACAGAATCAAAGCAGGAGTCTGGGTCTGAGTGTGATGTCATCATAGGCCATGACTTGTTGCTTGGTGCCTGAAGGTTAGTAAACAAATTGAGTACTTTTGAACGACAGAAGAGCTTGTTGAAGACAAATTCATTGAAGATAGACTCTGATATAGAATCTGTTGTAATCTGTGGTTATGTTGGCCTGTGGTGATGTCACACGTCGCTCGATCTCGTCTCCTCTGTAATTACGGCCATGGTTCACTTACTTCGGCTAAAATGGTCTTTTTTCCAATCTTTGACAGAGCACCAAAAATTCCCGTTTTGATGGATCTAAAAACATTTTCAAAGAGCTGCTCTTTGTGACTTAAAGTTTTACTGCAGATCGGAAAAAACTAGGGTGTATATGCACTTTACTCACGACAGGTCCCTACTTTGTTTCTCATCAGGTGACAGCGTGGTTGTGGACTCTAACCTTCTGAGAGATGATGGTGTATTCGTTCTAGCCCTTGGTGTAGGACCTCGAGTCAGCACGGTAGAGCTACGTCAAATGGCAACCACCTTTGACCATGTCTATCAGTTTACATCCGCTGATCAAGTACAAAGTCAGAAAGCAAAAATAGCTAGTGCCATTTGTGCAGGTATTAACAATGTTGCTAAGGTTATTAGGTTGTTAAGGAAGAAGGGTGGTCGGAAAGGGGGGTTTCTATGGTTACCCTTGTTTGACATAACCTATTTGTTGGTTACAGTGACGAGGAAACCACAGCTTTACTTCACCTTGGTAACAAACAACTCCGTGATGGTTGGTCACGTGATCACCAGTAGTCACGTGATTGATGACGTAGCCTGTGCATTCAAGTGTTTAAATAACGAACAGTGCTTTTCATTTGACTTTATGTCTGCATCCAATACATGCCAACTCAACTATTCAACGAAACAAGCCACTCCAGATGACGTCATTTCGGACGATGAATCCATTCATTATGACATGACGTTTTCTCTTCAATAATGTGCCCTTTTCCGGTTTTAGTTAAAATGAAATTAGTAAAGAAGCTATGTAGAAAGACGCATTAGACAACTGATTTGGAACCGGAAGTCATTTGTCATACGAATGACGTCATATTTGAAGTATACTGGTTCTACATACCATGCAATATCCCAATCGTTGCTTGTATTTTCTAGTATGTATACAGACCACACTGCTGCCGTTGGACGGGTGATTATACAATAGTATACAAGTGTAGGGGCGGATCCAGGTATTTTAGAAGGAGGTTGACTATCACGAAGGTTTTACCAGGAATGTACGATGTCCTGAGAAATGTGAGCAAAAGAGGGGTGACTATTCACCCTTCTTATCACCCCTGGATCCGCCCCTGCAAGTGGGATGTATCTTGGTATACGTAATATTTGATGGGAAGTGTAATCAGCTGACAAATATACAACATTTATTGTGCATTCTGATTGGCTGACTTGCTTCACGCATAGTGTACATGTGTTGCAATTATTATCTGTCTCTGAAAACTACAAGACATACTAGAAAACTTATATAAACCAATTCAGAGGAGGAGTCGGTACAATTTACTTGACAACACATATCTTGCCCCTTCTCCGTTGTTGCAAAAAATATTCCCCCCCCCCCCCCCC